GTACCTGTGTTTGACAATGGCAAATCATAACTGCTTCTAAGTTATTAGAGCCTAAAACTACACTAAGACTTTTTGAATACCTTGTATGATTCCCAAGTCTGATTTCAGTTCTAGCTCATTTCACCTGACTACTGACACTTGAACTCTGAAATGGCCCATTTCCTTTAGAAGTGAGATCTTTTCTTTTGCTATATCCTTATGAGCAGAGCTGATCAAAAATTTCTCCGACTTAGTTTCTTAGCTGTGAGTGTGAGTAGTTTTGTGACAAATACAAAGACACACGAGTAACCCAACCTTTATGTCTGATGTCAGTTGAAAATGAATTGGGGCAGTACTGTGATAGCAAATATTCCAGTGGTCATATTTTAATAAATTTCCAGAGATTTATCCAGTTTAAAAAACCTGTCTTGACTCCAGGGGTTTTCTCTTCTCTCGGATTAATGTCATTTGAATTTTTTTTTTTTTTTGGTGCTGGGAATCGAACTCGGGACCTTGTGCTTGTGAGGCAGGTGGCAGAACCACCGAGCTAAATCCCCAGCCTTCATTTGAGTTTTTATCTGTGATTTGTTTTGTTAAGAGTCTCATGTATTTTCTGGGCTCTGATAATTTCTTTCTGTACATCAAAATGGACTTTTTGCCTGGTCAGGATGGGAACAATTAAATTAAAGTCATTAATTTGCTTGTTTAGTTTTCTGATGTTTTCTTCAAACTATTCACAAACTTGGTTCCACTGCCTCTGTTCTGTTGGCATCATTGGATTCCCAAGTTTTTTTCTAGACTCTAAAATTGCCTCTCCGAGTTGCTCAATAGTATCGTTTATTTCCTTTTGCATTAGGATCCATTCTGGTTGGTATCCGTCATCTGTCAATATTCTGTTGAGGTTGTGGGTCATGGGGTCAATATATGAACAGACAGAAAACTTTTTTAGAGGTCTTCTCTTCCCGCTGAGATTGTCAAAGTGTCCTTTTGCCATTGATTCCTGAATGAGGTCCTCCACTAAATGCTCTATTGCTTGAGTTATCTTTTGTTCTCTGCTGTGTCTTACATCTTTGACAGTTACGCTCTTAGCAAAATGCTGCTTTTGCAGTTTCTGCTTTTGATATTACATCACTTACGCCATTGCACGGTCTGCCCTGAATTGTCTGTATTGCTTCTTTTGCTGACTCGGAGTCCCAAAACCAACACCTTCAAAACTTAAATAGTGCCGGTGTTGGGGTGTGTTATATTTGAATTTTTCTTCCTCTTCCTCCTCCTCCTCCTCCTCCTCCTCCTC